TGATTATGAGAGACGCCGTAGTGGAGGGCTCCGGAAATTTTGACCACCTGGGGTTCTTTAACGTGCACCCAAATCTGAGTACACGGGCCTACAACATTTCCGCCTCCATCGGAAATGCAGCCGCCGCAGCCGGGAATCGAACCCGCGACCTGCGGGTCAGCAGCCGAGTACCTTAGCCACTAGACCACCGCGGCGGGGCGGGGAAACGAAACAGCACCGACGGAGGCATTACAAAATGCCCGTCTCTATTCGCCCGCCTTCGCTTTGAAACAATGCCTTAAAGACGCACACGTAGCGGTAATAATAAATTACGAAAGACACTTTACGGTTGAACAACAGTAGTGCATGCGCATAACAATTCAGACGTGTGGCGATAGTGTAATTACAGTAGAAGACAGTATAAATATGCCACGACATACGATATATCTAATATTGCGATAGGCATAAATCGTCCTGACGTCATTATTACAAGTTACCTGGATCCGGCAGGAGTCGCCCAGCGGATCGGCACGGCGCAACACTCGAGGAAACCGGGTGAGAGTATAGAGAGTGACAGTCACGGTTAATGGAACAAGAACGACACACTAAATGTAAACGTTATGATGTCATTTTCCTAACTATAGCTGCATATACAGACTGAGACAGTCTTCTCTTGTAACACAGAGAAATATACAGTGAACAGGGGCTGCACGAAATAAGAACACCCGGTCAACATCTTCGGACTATATATGCACGACCATGCGTGCTTGTATGCTGCAGTTGCGCGTCAATACATTTCGATCACATCTGCCGGCATCCTCCGTCGTCCCGTTCGCCACGCAGACCTGGTGAATCCCCTGGTTTTCGTTGTTCCACACCGTGCTGATCACACCTTCCATTGTCTGATTGTGTACAAGATGCGCATACCACAACGCCCCTAAACGCACTTTCACTAAATCCCAATGAACTGGCTCAGTCTGTCACACAAGCCACTGTGAAGAATAACTTTCATGGGCCTTCCCGCGGCAAGCCCAATTAGTGAAGAGCAATAGGCACCGTTCAGTCGAGTTTTCCAGCGGATAAAAAAAAAGCAACCTTGAGACGACCTCAATGAAAATGGAACGCGACGCGCCCGTCTCGCGCCCTGTCGGCGAATCGTGGCCGCGATACAAGACGGACGCGAGCGCACGTCAATTTTCTGGGTGCCTCTAACGGTGAATGTCAAAGACTTTGAGACGCGGCAGTGTGAGCAACGCAGCTCCTTCTGGTCAGACCGCCTACCCGTTTGAGAATCTAGACGCGCCACGGTGGCAGATCTGGCTGCACAGAATCTGCTGGGATGACTTCAAACAACGCCTCCTGCCTGGGGAATGGCTCGCGCTCCCAGCGGAGTTGGCCTGCCTTCAGTTTTGAGCAAGCGCCGCGCGGTGGCGCTCGCGACCGAGACTATTATCACGGCAGCGGGCGGTACCAGCCATAGCCTCCTCTATAACTTTGTGCCCGAGCGGTCGGTCCCTCAGCGCCGTCCCCCGAGCTATTATGGGATGCGAGCGCTCCTGGCGGAGCGCCGAGGCGCAAAACGAGAGAATGGATGGCAGCTATGGAGAAAAAACCGGCTTTGAGTAACTACCGAAAGGGCAAAAATGAAATAAGGAGGGAGGCATTTTACGATAATTCAAGGGGAAGCGCTTTACTGTTTGAAGCGAGATCGGGTTGCCTTAGAACGCGTAGTTATAAAGCAAGATTCAGTAAAGAAGAAGAACAATGCACATGCTGCGGGAAAGATAAGGAAACGGCGGAGCATGTTCTGATTGAATGTGGAGATATCCACCCAGGTGTACTCCTGTATCCGTCAACTGAGCTCGTAATGGTTCTAAATTCTCTAAAGAATTACGCGGAAGTTTTCCTCGCAAGAGCGAGAAAGATGAATCAGCCACTGAAGGCTGCCGTTGACAACGCCGCGCAAATACTACAGAAACGTGACAAACTCAAGTGCTCGACCCCGGGACATCATAAAAAACTTTTGGAGGTTGTGCTCGTGAAGTTTCTCCGCCCACTTTTTCTGAACTTCGCGACGAGTGTGACTGACAAACACGACTTGGCAAAAGATTTTCATGTCAAACCATTGTCTCGAAAAGTGCTCAAGCTTTGAGCGCGAAATCAAATAACAAAGCTCACATTGCATTCTGCATACAGTGCTTGTGTTAAAAATTTGGTGTGTGCGCACTTCTTAACGTATACGCATAATCCAATGCAATGTAGACGGTTTCTAGACCGTCATAAACGCAAGCGTGCATAGGCCGCGTCGTCTGCTGTTATTATGGGATCGGTGCGGCATCTGGCGGCGAGCGCCAAAACTATAAGGGACGGATGGCGCGTATGTATTTAGCGCTAATGCGCGGGCACAAAAAAATATAGGAGGCTATGTACCAGCTAAGCGTTTTTCATCTGCGGCCCATAGGGGCGCGTCAGTCGAGAGTTGTTCGAGACCTGCAACTGTACACCGCTATTTCGAAGGCTATGCAAAGTGTTGCGTTGTTACACCGTCCGCCACAGGTGACGCTAGCGCCGGAGAACATTCTAAAATAAAGGAGGGAAAGGGTGTGGCAGCCGTTTTTCTTCTCATGCGGCAGGCATCTTCTAGAGGAGGCGTTGCTTCAAACTAAAGTAAACCAGAATATAATTCAAACCGAGTCGACTCTGCAAGGTATATGCGAGCGTCTCCTCTCATTTCGCTAAGATCGTTAGGTTTTCGTCCTTCTAATTAGCCGCACATTCATTTTTTTCGTGTATTTGTATGTTCCTCCGCGGCTTCTTTGAAGTAGTTTTGAAACGCGTTTCTGTTAACCACGGTGTAGGATCCATACTCTTTAGCTGGAGACGCTTCTCATTTGGCGCACAAAGCGCGTTCCATGGCAACGCCGACGTGCACCGCATGTCGCATTTTGTGCGTGCGTGTGCGTGCGTACGTGCGCGGAAAACACACAAACACGGCGTGCGTTTTCAACTTTAGGGATTCGCGCTACCACGAAATACTGTGGCGCCAGTTACAGACCCGTACGTTTCCTACCCCATCTTTTCGCCATCTTATACACCCTGCAATATACCCCTCCCCTTTGTGCATTTTCTGTCAACAAAGAGCTAACCTAGACCATATCATGTGGGGGTGTACTCGAAACCCGCCACCCAATTCTCTACACATTAATAGTAAGGAGCAGTGGGAGGCTGCTTTGTGCAGCTCGGCGCCCGAGGTCCAGGACCAGATCTTGGATTGGGCCAAGAGGGTAGCGGAGACCTACGCTGGGTAGGCTCCTTTGACACTCCACCACCGCACCTTTCCCTCTTGGGATGAATGAAGTTTTTCTCCTCCTCCTCAACTTTAGGTACTGGTGTGCAACTACCGCGTTCTTTGACTAATAAATTCAGATTTTCTTCGCACCGCCAGTTTCTTGAACATAGCGTTTTCTTTTTTCTGCGCGTCATCCCACTGATAGACACCCACATCCGTCAGCAGTCCGATCAAGACCGCCGTGACGCGCGGTTGTTTCTGGCCGCCACCCAAGCGCAACAACATTTCGATGTCCTCTGACCCGGCATTGCAGGTTGCTGCGGTGACTCGGGCCGCCGATGTCATCGCCGCGAAAGGCCTGGACGGCCGTGTAGACGTGGCGTGGGACCGCGCGGTGGTCCGAGGACCTTATGGAGTTGTTCAGTCTGTCCGTCTGTCGATGTTCTCTCGTGTTTCGGCAGTCAGTAATAAGTTCACACGAAGACAATCGAGTCAAATCTCGCCAAAATACCAACCGACGAGCGCGAGCACTTCACGGAAACAGCGTTGGGCCAACGCCACCTAGACTATAAGTGGCGTTGGTTGGACGCGGAGAGCGTCTGCTATAGCTATGCACCGCGTAGGTGGAGCCACGGCCGAAAGAAGAAAGAGCGAAGACCGCCGAAGGAGGAGGAGAGAGGAGTTGTCGTTTTTATTTTATTCAGGTGCTTTAGTAGAGGGTGTAGGGAGTAAGGTCCCTAGATGAAACCAGGGACCTTAGTAGGGAGTAGTAGATGGTTGGCTGAAGCGCCCTCACTAGGCGATCGCTACAACGAGCTGTGAAGAAGAATCTGCCCGGGCGGTAAGGCCGCGTTCACACTGGGCATTCCGGCCGCCGAAAGTGCTCCGAATCCGGTTCGGCGGCGGCGAGTTCCGCCGAAAGGGCCTTCTCCGCGCCGATCGCTTTCGGACCGATTTTTGCGGCGTCTGCCGCCGAATCGGTCACCGCGGACCAATAGGAGCGCTAGTCAAGGAATTTTGAAAAATGGCGGCCAAGCCCTCACTTGTTATGCCGCAGTGCACGTAACTGAATGTTGAAACCAACGGGAGTTTAACCTACTCTGAGCCTACTTCGCCTCCGTATTTCGTGAAAGAGGTGACCGAGCTTGCTGTTGGCGTGACCGAGCTTGTTGCGGTCTTGCAGAGCAAAACAAACCCACCAACGCCACTGGCGTCGGTGGTTTTTTTGCTCTTCGTGCATTACAAGACAGCCACTTGCCAGCAAACTAAGCAGTACTGTCTTTTCTTGCTTCTTGCGTACGAGAATCGTCGAAGTATACACCACCGGATAGCGTAGTAGCGTTTGCAAGCCGTGACAACAACCGGGTGACAGCGCATCCATCCCGCGTTCGCCCCGTAGTAGATGGTATATTCGGCGGTAGGTAGTAAACTTTATTTCGGCGGCGCGGGGCGCGTCCAGTGCGAACGACGCTGCGTTTCGGCGGCAGGGGAATTTCGGTCGCTGTAGAAAGCGGATGTTTCAGTGTGAACTAGGCATAAGTGCGCGCATGCCGCTCCTCCAGTCTGGCCATCACCTGTAGTGCACTGTGAACTGAATTGACTCGACTAAAAGCGCGTTTTTGCACTCATCAATAATCGAGTTTTTCTTCGGTGCACACTGTATCCTTCGGTGCACATGCACTGTAGCCCCGTACGTACTCCCACTTCCAACATTGCTCGCCATATGGTGCAGGTCCAGTACCAGGCGAACCGGAGGATGACCGAGCACTGTGCCAACGCCGACCCAATGTCCGGCGGTGCAGGCGCCGCGGCGGGCGACAGTCCCGGCCTGTGCGTGAGCCAGAAGATCCACTGGCCGCACAACGTGACCTGCTACCTGGTAAAGTTCTACCGCCAGACGCCCTGTCTGTGGGACCACTCGCACCGCGACTACAGCGACAAGATGGCCAAGGAGCGAGCTCTGCAGCAGTTCTCGAACGAGACCGGCTACCCCGTCGAGGCGGTACGAAAGAAACTCATCAACCTGCGCAACCAGTTCACAAACGAGTGGCAGAAGATGGACCGCAGCAGCAACTCGGCGAAACCGTACCGCACCAAGTGGGCGTTCTACAAGTCCCTCACCTTCCTCAAGGACGTCGTACTGCCACGAAAGCCCAGGAACGCATTGCACGTAAGTACATCTACGCGAGCGCGAGCTCTCCCTTACAGGTAATATAAAAGTCTGCATTTCACACTAAATATACACACCCTTATAAAGTTTTTTTCTTGACCTAAGGCGGACGTTCCTTTGCAATAAACCGTATTTTCTCTCAGTTACATAGAAACGCCACGGCCGTACAAATCCTTTTCCAATTATATTATATATATAATTGGAAAACGCCTAACGCATTCAAGACCGTGGTATCATTATATATATATATATATATATATATATATATATATATATAATGATACCACAGTCTTGAATGCGTTAGGCGTCGCATAAAGCATTGTGCCGACCCCAGCTTTGGCTTCTAAATTAGCCTAAACATATGCTAGCCTTCAGATATTAGCAAAAATTTGATGCGATGCCTCCAGCGTATATGGACGCGTGCGAGTTGCTTAATTTCCCATGCGTGTATGAAGCCTTCATTGTTCCGTTCACGCTTTCTGGTATAGAAGGTGGCACCGCCGAAAGAGGTTCCACTCAGTCATGTTTCGGTGAATGCGTGTTGGCGCGACGATATTATTGCTATGAGTGCACTAACTGCGTCTCGACATCACTAAAGGGTGCTGCCGTATAACGGTACGGTATCTGAAAAAAATATATATATATTGTGCTCTTTCGGTTGCAGCACGAGGGCGTACACATGAGGATGCCTCCGATGGGCGTGCAGGCTTTCGACGCACGCTCGATGGACATGAGCGCGAGCTTCGGATTCGCCCGGGAGAGGCGGCTCCACGAAGCGCAGCAACAGTTCCACCACGACGGCCTCGACCATTCTCCGCAGAACCACCAGAACCACGGCAGGTCGGCGCAGAACAACAACAACGAGGACTCCTCGCACCTCGACGGGTCGGCGCTGCTGGACGGGTTGCAGCAGCAGCAGGAGGGCCACCGAGACGGATCTTCGCACCAGACACCGCCGCAGCATCAGCAGGACCAGGACGTGACCGTGATCGGCCCGGGTGGCGACGTGGACGACCTGGAGCTGTCGCAGTCAAGCAACTCGCTCGTGCTCTCGCCCGAAGTGACCCTCGAGGAGCCGTCCTCGAGCGAGCGGAGGATCCTCCCGGTGAGCATGCCCGTGCGGTCGAGCATTGTGCACGCGTCCAGTGTTTGCACCGTGTGCGCCCCAGTAGTGTAAGGTTAGAAGATAAATTGAGCCAATCGAGCTTTACTTTGTTCTGGTCAGCATAACGAGACTTAACACAACGTACTTTCCTCCATCAAGGTAGCTTTATATTTTTCTGCACATTCTTTTAACACAAAAGTGTTTTCGCCGAGGTCCACCAACATCTTAGTGACGTATTTCCGTCACGGAAATGACGTCGAAAAAAAAACGGGTGATCAGAAGACAAAGAAAGTACCGTTAGCAGAAGTCGAACCCATGACCTCTGGGTCCGCGACATGTTTGCAGATGCCGGGCACGCTATACGCCACTGTCACAAACTTTGTACGCTTTAAAGAAGAAGAAAAAACGCTTTTTATATCTACCACGGTCCTCTCACAGCGTTCTCGATATAGTGTAGTCTCACGTGGGCTGGATAAAAAACAAGGTGGTAGTAATGTATCATGACCGTGGCATCCACGGTTACTTCTTTAACGCGTCGTTTCAAAGCGTCCGTTCCATTGGGCGCGCTTCCAATATGAGTACATTTCTGTGAACGCCGTAACACACCTCCAGGAGGCGATCTTGCCCCAAGCGTCGGCCTCGCTCATAGCATCCATCCATACCAAACTTAGCTCTGCAACCTCAGAACGCGCCTGTTTCGCCTGGATATAGCTGCTCGTTGCCCAGCCCCGCCAATTCGCCGCCGGCCAAAGGGAACACACGGCGCGTGCTGCGTTTCCCTCTGGCCAGGCACTACAGTGCCGCGAGTAGATGACTTTAGCCCAAGTTCTGCGTCCAATCAGGCAAGCGCTTCCTGTTGTCACATCGCTTTCTTTGATTTCGCTCTCACTGTGAACTACCACAGCTACCATAAGCGTCTATCACCACAAGGGTTTGCTTAATCATTAACGATCGATGTTAGCCGTCGGGATGGAGATGTACGATTAAGTCGCAACGCGGGTGCATTCACGTTGAGTGGTGCTATAGCTGTCAAACACCAACAGACATAGCGCAAGGTCTCCTGTATCAATGTACGCTAAACATTAAACTAGTTGTGTAGAAAAACTATTTACTTCTGTGTTTTACTAATTCCTATGACCGAGGGATCAACCATGTTTTTTTTTTAATTTTTCTAACGTCTTCGTGGAATGTTCTGGCGACTTCACGTAATTTGCCTATGTGATTGGCACGAGTAGCAGCGGGAAGATTGCATCTGTCAGCTCTGTCTAAACTCTGCTAACACTTTTTTTTTTCAGGCGGAGGATGACGGTTTCCATCAAGATATACGACCAACGTACACGTTTCCAGGAGAGCGCTACGGCGACATCCAGAGGTACGAAAATAACTTAGAATAGTGTGCGTGCTATGCTATACTATGCTATGCTCAGCGCTGCAAAACTGAAGGCGGGTATAGTGGTACCAAAGTCGGTTCACACAAGCTGCGATTTCGTTAGCCGTTACTGGGTTGCCTTAAAAAGCAACACGTGGTCTCAAAATAATGCCGCGCAGGACCTCTATCCATCATTTAGTAGTCTTGGCCGGCGAAGTCGCGATGTGCAGTCGATTTTGCTTTAGAAGTGTAGAAACACCAATTTAGCACGAAAACCAACAGCTTTTCGCACCTGCGAGCCCTCGAATGCCGCGCACCTGCGCACCTAAAAGCCACGAGTCATTTCGTTGACAGTAGGAAATAATTCGTCGAATCGCACGAAACGCATCATCAGTCACACGCGATAAACAATGAAATACTAAGAGAAAAAAGGGGGACATATAGAAAGTGTGAGTTATACGGAAAATATTTATGCGATAAATTACGAACTATCTGAACTATGTCTTGCATTGCACACGCCTTACACCTACGTGTCATTTCGCCGACAATTAAAAGTCATTCGTCGAACCGCAACGCGGGCACGAAATATCTATCAGTCACGCTAGGGAAACACAGAAATGCATTTCAAGAGAACAAAAAGATGTTACACGGGAAGCAGGCGTCATACGCTAAAATATGAAGAGGCTGGACGTACAGCAGGCCTGCGTATCATTTCGTCGACGACAAGGATTCGCCGAAGAGCACCGCAGGCACGAAGCACCTTATAAGCGAGAAACGTTTAAATGTCTTGAAAGAGGAAAAGAGCTCATACGGACAGAACACATTGTGTACGGGAAATTATGACTCTAAAATATTTACTCCGACTTAGCAGGGCACAATAGTATTAACAGAATTACAAAGACCCACCGCGCACTCATCATGCAGACGGCATCGTGCCAGTACAACGCCGACACTAAACGAGCTATAGCCGATTTGTCGCGACAAAATCGGCTTGCGAACAACCGTGGCCACTTACGGGACGTTTAAAAGGACGTGTGACGACATTTTTTTTTCTTCAGTAGACTGGGCGACCTCTGCTCATTTGGTGCCAGTGCGTGCTGAGGATGCCGCCTGCAGAGATGGCAAAACGACTAATTTCAGTAATATTGTTTAGTTGTGTTACGTCGGAGTAATTCGTTTAGATTAATAATGGAATGAACTACAATGTGCGGAGTACAGGTTCAACGGCCACGCGCGAGCATGTGTTCATGTGCTCCCTGGTCTGATCAGAGCTGTCCGAATTGAGTTTCAACAACCGGTTACAATCTAAGAAAGAAAACATGATCAGCCCACAGCTATTACTGTGCCTCCCCAAGTGAGTTCGAATCAATGCTTCATTCAGTAGCGCTTCCTCATTTTCGTGACGTCCAACTATTCTCGGTTTTATAATAGTTGACTTTCCCACACAGAGACACGTTTGCAGAGCTGGTTTCAGGCTGTAAAATTTAATGTCCCGATGAATTTTGCCATGGATTCTGAATTCGCTGCTCAGCTAAACGTAACGTTTTAGGTATACAGCAACAAAAAGCCTACAACTCTTAACATGCGCGTATTATTTACGCAACGAGAAGCCTTTAACTTTAAATATGCGCGTATTGTTTACATTATCCGAGGTAACGTGTACACGGTTCTAGGGGAAACGCAGCTAGAGCAACCGTCTTTCGCTGGGGAAGGGCGGGTGCCATGCTTTTGTGGCAGGAGCTTACGTCATCCTGAACGCTACAGACACTGGCGAGCATTCCAATACACACCCACTCAGAATTTGGCATCTCATTGAATGTACCCCGGGTCACATGGGACTAAAGGGAAACCATGGCAGCGGATACAGGGTACCTCGAGGGTATGCGAGCCGAGCGCATTCTAACTTCGCCCCTGAGGAACCCGCTCCCGTGCCTTGCGACTGTTAGGCCATCCTAAACAATTATAGAGGACTTACTCCCGTATTCTAGAGCGTCCCTTCACTCAACGCTTCAGCTTCACTTGAGAAAGCCGATGGGAGCGCCGTCTCTAGGCACGGCAAGTCACTGCATATCAGCGATAATCTGCTGCGATTCTTGAGTATCGCAGCGTCATTTTCAGCCGAACGGTGGCGCAGTGCTCAACTCTGTCAAATGAAGGGTGGAAGTCGAGTCGAGGAGCGTTTGTGAATACGGGGGTTAGGCAAGCTTATTCCCTACCACGCCGAACATAAACAGGAATCGGTCAGCTGCAGGCAAACTCAAACCGGCACGTTTCGAAATTTACTGTGCACGTTTCCTGTGTACGGAGTCGTACACAGCTTCGGTTGAAAGGACTAAAGGCAGATTAACTCTAGCTAACTGTACGTGACATTGCGTGAAAGATTGTTATGGGAGAAGCGCCAGTCTTTATTATCGCCCGGTGTGTGCCTACGTACAGAGCACGTTTCTCTGACGCAGGGGCGATCACGTGGACGCGTTCACATGCTACATCGGCACCGAGCTGCGACGCATTCCGGACGAGGAGACCGTGGGCCAGCTGAAGCTGCAGATCCTCAAGCTGATCTTCAACGCCCAGGCGACCACCGCCGCCTACCAAGGCAACGCGCAACAGTGACGCGGCGCGCTCCCGTCAACGAGTCACGATTCACTGCCAACGCGCGTATATAGCACGCGGTGCGGTCCAGCGTAGCGGAACAACGTCAGGCAACCCGTTCAGCGCTAAACTCCCCGTCGTCAAACTGGACCGAACCGCGTTCGGCAGTATACAACGCGCACCCAGATGGGAACAAGACTATAGTGATGGACGAACAAGACTGTAGTGATTACCGGACGAGACCTAAGCGCCTTCCGCGTCAGAACTGCGGCCCAGCGGCTGCGTTCAAAGTCCAATGTGTCAGAATGCGAGTAAGTCGCTCGCAATGTACCGATCGTGGTGCCGTATTTATTATAGGGAGCACTGTAGGCGTGGCTCCCTTTACCCGCGACAACATAAGGCGATTTAGAGGAGACAAGGACTTCCCTATAGAGAAGAGCTTTTGTTTTAAAAAAGTGCGCGCATTTAGAAACACAACGCCGCTGACACAATATAACCCTGTGCACTGTTATTATCAACGGCGCCGTGCGTCGACGATTCGCCTATTTAGCGCGATATGCATCTGTCCCTTGCAAGCAAGAGACTGGGTACATACTCATTGCCATCAAAGTATATGGGGTTGCTTGACCCTCAACGAAAACTGCAGCTTCGGCACTTCCGTGTCACTGCATCTATGCACAAGCGAGCACACCGCACGAGGGTACACGGTGCCGCGTTGTCACTGAGCGGAATTTTTTTATATTCACTGTTAGATTTTGCGTAAGCTTTATGCCCAACCTTTGCCGTCGAACAGGCTCGGATTGAGTCCGAGAGTATACTTATGCGCGCACGTACATTGTCGTGTTTTGTTTGTCTTCCTATGCCACCTTTAAAAAAAAGCGACCTAGAGGCACAGCTGGCCTTAGTTTAGTCGGACCAGGTTTACGGCACACCGCGACAACGAGTAGCGCAAACCGCCCGCCGTACATTCGAGTACGTGGAGAGACTATGCACAACTAATGGCACCGTGCCGATTTTAGTGTCAAAGTAAAAGCGAATGTGCGCACAATGCACACGCGTGTTCACTTTGCACCTGGAAGTGAAGAAGTGTTGCGGACAGTCAAGCTAGTTTGTCATCCATTACCTATCTACAGCAGCGCACTCGTTATTTAGTACAGCAACAAATGCGAAGCCTGCACTGGATATAAGAGACAGAGCAGCCGGTTACTGACGGCGCTCTTATGCAATTTCTCCGAGTATAACGCCCGTGTCTTACAGAAGGCGTGACGTGTCATGTCTTATAGAAGAAGGTTTATATATACGCCACATGTAATGCGTGCGAGGTCACAAGACGAACGTCGTATATTTCCGTGCATTACTATCGAATCGCTCGCGACGAGGCTCCAGTCACGTAAGCGAACTGCCAAACGAAGACTCCTTTTCCGGTGCACGCTCCAACGAATGTGGGTGTGAATGTGGGTGTGAATGTGTGTGTGTGTGTGTGTGTGTGTGTGGTGTGTGTGTGTGTGTGTGTGTGTGTGTGTGTGTGTGTGTGTGTGTGTGTGTGTGTGTGTGTGTGTGTGTGTGTGTGTGTGTGTGTGTGTGTGTGTGTGTGTGTGTGTGTGTGTGTGTGTGTGTGTGTGTGTGTGTGTGTGTGTGTGTGTGTGTGTGTGTGTGTGTGTGTGTGTGTGTGTGTGTGTGTGTGTGTGTGTGTGCGTTCGTCAGTTTCCGCAAATTGACGCGCGAACTGTCGTTCTGTTTATGAATAAACGTATACGCACGGATGTGATGAAACACCTTGCCTCAAGCTGTCGTGCAGTTCACTTTTTTTTTTCTTGTCGTTATACTTGGTGTTCCTGGCTTGCCTGTGCTGCACTAACCGCGGCGCATTGATCGTGCCGTTGGGCATTGATTCCGAGAAATGCAACACCTGCGACATGTCGCTGACCTGCGACCGTATAGCCTGTTCCATACAGGTAAAGCTGGTGCGGGGACCAGTTAATATGACCTCATGAGTCATGACTGTTCACGCCACCAAGAACTATTATATGTTAAAGTTACTATAGCTGCTGGATACTCTGCAGCTGCAAATTAGCATTCGTAGCGAGAGTGACACGGTAATTTTGCCTCACAGTCGTGATTCGTGCGTTGTTAATAGAGAGTGTTAGTACTGCGTACGTGGCGGCGTTGCGTACGTAAGGACGCCACATTCTGCGTAGTGCGCATGCGCAGACCGCAACGCGCACGTATCGCATTACGTACGCAGCCGCTACGTACGCACGAGGTGATCGCGCCGCTCTCGAACAAGTTCGCGACAGCGCGAGACTGCGTTTTGCAAAATGGCGGCATCGAAGGCAAGCACCGACCAGCTCTGTGGCTTAAAATATGGTCCTATTCTGGCTATAACACTTGGATTGGCTCACATTGGCTGTCAACAACACGTGCTTCTATTTCGATCTACCAGATGGCGCAACACGCTTCTCGCTCGTTACGTACGCGGGTACTACGGCGTACTAAAAGCCGATTAGCGGCAAACGACGCCACGTAACGCAAGGCACTTGCGTGATGCGTACGTAGCACCATTCCGCAGTACTAAAACTCTCTAATGTTGAGCAGGGGCATGGCCAGAATTTTTTTTTTCGGAAAATGTAAGGTGTTTCAACCATAAATCATGTCTCGTCGTATGTGCGTTTGTATGTGAGCGTGCACATATAAGGAAGCAAAATTAAACTGAATATCGGGGGTGGCGGGCTGCCCCTGGCTACGCCCCTGCTTTTGAGTGATAATGATAGCTGGGCTTCATTATCACTCGACGTGTCATAATTCGATACGACGTGTCATAATTGCGATACGATTAAGAGGCACGCCATATTGGGGAATCAATGATTAATTTCGACTGCTAGAGGTTCCTTAATGCACACCTGAATGTAAGCGCATAGGTGGTTGTATTTTGCCCCGGTAGAATTACGGCCACCGAGGACGAAAATTCGAGCCCGCGCACTCGAGTGGACTACGAAATTACTGCGCGAGAGCAAAGTAACTGACAACATCGAAAATAGCCACCTTGTCCCTTCATAAATCTTCACCAAAGAGCTAGTAGACCAAAGAGTATAGTAGTAATAGTAGTAGTTATCTGTCTTTTTTCTTATAACTGTAGCAGAGGCAAGGTATTACTGCGAAATTAGTCCCGATTGGCCTACTTTCCGCGAATGCAATTCGTTGTCCTCCTTTCACAACTCGACCCCCGTAGAACGAAGCCCATCGCTTCTTACTACTCCGAGCGAGAGCCCTTTTTCTCGCAAATTGGCGAGGCGCAGCCCTTTCCGCCGAGCCTCACTATGATATGTGGAGCTTAAAATGCGCCATGCACCCTAATGGGCAGCAGAAATTAGGCGTCTCATTCTTCCTCGAGCCACCAACAGCACCGACGTCCCAAAACCACCATATGATTATGAGAGACGCCGTAGTGGAGGGCTCCGGAAATTTCGACCACCTGGGGTTCTTTAACGTGCACCCAAATCTGAGCACACATGCCTCACATATGTTCGCCTCCACTGAAAATGCAGCCGCCGCTGCTGGGATTCGATCCCGTGACCTGCGGGACGGCAGCCGAGTACCTTAGCCACTAGACCACCACGGCGGGGCCCGAGCCTCACTATCGTCCCTCGGGTTACAAAACCTGCGCAACGCCTGCAACAACGACTATGGCAAGGGATCATTCTTAGCCATTCCACACGGCGAATTGTATACGCTACGAGTGAAGTGCAGCACGATGTTCTCACTGCAAATTTCGCACCGTCACATGCAAAAAGCGTCGCTCTGTCGCTTAGTCTAAGCTAGCTATAGACTTCTTCCATAGCTTATTATGATATGCATTTTATGCGTTTTGTGCTTGGCGGGGTACAGCAAATTTAATAGAAAGCGCGTGCAGAGTTCAAGCCGGCGCTCAAGATGGCCCTCGACTGCTTAAAAAAAATGGCCCCGTATCTGCATGTTACACTGCAAACGTCGTCGAAAGACTATAATCTTGCGTCTGGAGAGAGTGAACAAAACGTTTATTTGATGCTCTGCGCAAGAAAATCAGTCAATTTGTCTTTAGGGGGCACTGCGTTAGAGTGCCTCGAGCGTGCAGCGGATGCGAACGAGCGCATCAAGTCACGTCACACGTGAGACATGAGCGCTATCTGGCAGTTATCGAGGAAAACGAAGCACGCGGCGTGCGCGTCAGTCTCTGAGGTGATAAGGTGTAGAACGCAAAGCGACGGGTAGGTGCCACCACCGTGTCGTCTAGGCAAAGCGTTGGAAACACTTGCCTTTTCGTGCAAGCGTTGCATGGTCAGCGCAGCGTGATAAACGCTACGGTTCTTAGGATTACTTATGTATGCCCCGCCGCGGTGGTCTAGTGGCTAAGGTACTCGGCTGCTGACCCGCACGTCGCGGGTTCGAATCCCGGCTGCGGCGGCTGCATTTCCGATGGAGGCGGAAATGTTGTAGGCCCGTGTGCTCAGATTTGGGTGCACGTTAAAGAACCCCAGGTGGTCTAAATTTCCAGAGCCCTCCACTACGGCGTCTCTCATAATCATATGGTGGTTTTGGGACGTTAAACCCCACATATCAATCAATCAGGATTACTTATGTATGCCTTTTCTAGTAAAAAGACACACATACAGAATATTGATGTGTTGTGTGGTGTCTCTAATATGCGCAATAATTGCTTTTTAATTGGCAATCGCACAAGTATGAACGATAAATCTTGAGAAATATTGGTGGGCGCTGCGGATGGGGTCGGCCGTTTGGAGTATTTTTTGGTCTCTTTGGTGCCATCTAGGGTACCATTAAGGCGGGCAAATGGAAAAATGTACAGACGAAAAATTTTGCGTGGTAAGTCCCCAAGAGAGACTATCATCTTTAAAAAAGCTGAATGAAACAAAGATGTGCCCTCGGTAACGCCACACGCACACGCAAGCACTGACCCTGCTCCTTCCCAGGGCCACATGTTTTCTTTTTCTTTTTTTTTTTTGCGCGTCTGCAACCAAAACACGCGCAACCATTTTTTTAGACCGACACCGCGCTACATGCACTGCACCTAGACGCAGACGAGAGAAGTAAATAAACACGGCAGACGTAGAGGCTAGACTTCCGAAATCGCAGCCGTCAGCGGAAAGGCACATCGCGTGGCACAGCGAAGACCAGCATAAAAAAAAAACGCCCGAAATGCAGCGAGCCGCGCAAACGCTGATTTTTGCTCGCGCTGCACGACAGTTCAGTGGGTAAATATTATTTTCTCTCCCGCACGCGCGGGCTCCCTCCACGGCTTTGTCCTTATAATCCGAGACAAAGTGCAAGAAAAAAAAAAGACGAGAAAGGGAAATCGAAAGTTGGCGCACGGTCACTATATATATACATGAACCACCCGAGACGGTCGTTCTAGCGTCTCGCTCGCTTTCCTTTCGCGTAGCCACGCTAGCCTTGCACGAACCGTCGGCGATGTCTCGCCGCAGTCGTCTTCGTCGTCTCCAGTGGCCCGTTTCTCCCTCTCGGCAATGGCACCTCGGACGTCGACTGTCGATCGACGCCCTCGGGGTATACGTGTCCGATACGACGACGCGCAAAGAAGACGACCGCAACGCAGCGGCATGCATTCAGCCAACGGGGGACCGCGCTATAACGTGCGCCGATCACACTTGTCCGCTGGCCGCCCTTTAGTAACACACGTCCCCCAGGGAGAGGATCCACTTCGCCATTAGGTTAGTCGCGCGCCGAGTTCCCCGGCTACGATGCGAGTCTCGTCTCCCGGTAGACGATGGCCGGCCATTCAGTTTCCCGGCGGCGTTACGTATGTCGTCGGCGCGGAAGAAGCACTCCGGAAAACGATGGGAGGAACGCGCCGTGTCCTCTTTTTTTGATCGATCACGTCATCTTCTGAAAATGCGTTCCTTTTCGGGCGCTCGTCTGCTGCTCCGCTGCCGGTCGGTCGCCCGTATACGAGTGGCAAGAGAATTCCGCCCAGCGGTTTCCCTGGTTACGTAGGTTCCCATGCATAGTTGTAAGGGATAGGAGTAATATTCAGGGGACGGTATAGTGTCGCGAAGGCAATGTCTCGCGGAAAGCCTTTTCTTCTTCAGCTACAGCTGGAGTTCGTTCTTTGCCAGATGCTCTTGTTAGAGTCGCTATTTAACGACTTGTCTCGAGGAGGCCACCCCGAGGAAGAATGAGAGTCTGAACAGAAAAAAAGCTGCGTCCGGTCGGTCACTGCGCGCTTCGCGCCAAACCAGGCACCGCGCCGTGCTTCCGACCGGACTACAGAAATTAGGTGCCTTTCTCCTGTTCTAACCACTACCACCACCACCCCAAACGAGCGAGCCGCCGCTTGCGTCCTCCGGGGGCGATCGGGGAGCGACATCATAGCACTTGTTTGCGCGTCAAGGCCATTTTAGAGAATGCGCCCGTTTCGAAAAGCTGCTACAGTCTC